AAAAAAAAATCTTTTAATGTCGGTCAGTTACTATGTAGATAGCATTAGTTTAGAATTCTAGTCACTACTACTCACTGCCTTCGTGACAATGTTACTAATTTGCAGCAGTGCCAGAGTTTTTTTTGCTGTGCTTCAGCAACATTTTGAAGGATGGCGTCAAAATACCACTTAGGATATGCAAAAGCTTCATAAATTTAGCGATGTGGACACAAATTCAGCGATACCTCGCATTTATCCCTTACGTCGACGTCGGCCCCCTTTTCAACCAAATATTTTACCAATTTCCGAGTGGGGGCCGTAATACCGAATCTAGTGAAATATACTGGAACAGAGATATCTATTACAGTATTCTTTAAGGATGAGCAATGCTATCGGTCTGGTTTTCTTAGACTTTTTCGCTATCATTTTCCGTCCTTCATCATTTACCGTTTCATATTTTCATATCCTGATTTTTATATTTTTGTGTTGTTCTGAAACTTTTTTACACCCACCAAAGATGGTAGAAAAAACAAGCAAAGTTTTTTTAAAAAAACAATGTTTTTTTAAAATATAAATTCAATTTTTAATCTAGAAACCGTTTTACACTTTTTCAATATTTTCTTGTCTCTGAGCCATTTCTATATTAAACATTTACCCCCACCTCTCGCAACTAAACCTATTTTTTTTAATTTAAGAGCTGTTCTACATAAAAGTTCTTTAGCTTTTAGCCAAACTACTTTTATGGATTTCTTTTAGCTAATTTTCTGAGCTATTTTAGAGTAAAATTAAAAAAAAACACAGTTAAATAAACACGGAACAGTCATCGAAACACCACTTTTTCATACGCAGAATCACTTTTACTCGTAAAATTACATCTTTACCCTATCTTTATCTTTTCCAATGATATTTTCAATGTCTTTTGACAAATCTTTTACCACTTCGATGTGCCCCTTCTTAGACGCCGATTGCAACGGAATTCGCTAAAAAAAAGCTATATTATTCTTGGCTCTCAACAATTTTAAAAAATTTGTATTTTCATCTTTACTGTTTGTAACTTCAAGATTTCACTGTTTCTTAATTTTACATTGTTCTTGCACAAAAACCTCTGAGTATTTTTAAAAGATGTAAATTTTCAGAACAGCGTTTTTTATTACAATTAAGACTGTTTTTTTTCCAACGGTAATTTAGCCAATTTTGAAAATTTATAATTTATTCTCTGAAAACTTTTCTAATTTTTATATTCAGACAACTGAATTTGCGCTTCTGCATCTTTTTTTTCTAAAGGTATTTTTCTGCCAATAAAATCGACTTTCTTTCCTAAGAGTATTTTTTTTTATTAAGTAAATTCTTTATTTAAACAGCTCAAGTAAAAGTTTTACTAAAGCAATTTTAGATTACCACTGACTGATTCTGAATTTTTTTTTAGAAGCAAACTACAAGAGTGGTAATATATGGTTACAGAATTATCGGGAGCACTTTTCATCCAGTAGTACTAAAAAAACAATTACCTCATCTTCATCCGTTACATCACTGTTGGCGTCATTAAGAACCAAATATTTCACCACCTCAACGTCCCCCGT